TGCTACCAAGCTACTGAAAAAAGTGATCAGCCTCGTTTTCACCTGATTTTCCTGTCTCATCATATCATGTTTTGTTTCTGTAATTATCCTTACATCTCAACATTTTGAATTTTTTAAGTATTTTTCCCGAACTCAGGAAAGGTTAAATAAGCAATATATGGCCACTTGTCTCATCCCCGCACCCCCCCTTTAATATTCATCAATAGAACAAGACTTAAACTGTGGGTTTAAAATCGATAGTAATGATATAACCACTTCCCAAACCCTCATATCACCGCGTTCTTAAAATCTGGTAAAAATAACATACATAAAAACATTGATAAACTATTAGCCCATCTTAAATGTTTTCGAAGCAGTCAAAAAACAAAAAAAAATTAAAACAGTCACTCTAACCTAGTCTCAATCAAGAGTTTTTCTTTATCTCCTCTTTGTGAACTGCATCTTTGTACAAGTAGGGCCCATTGCACTACACTATTGTGAGTGGTGTATTTACGATCAAACAGGACTAGGGAGATAGAAAGTACACATAAAACATTAGCTAGCCTTTTTCTTTTCACAAAAAATGTGATTTACTTATTTTATCATTATCATGACGTCATCGGTGAGATTGAGTGAACGTAATGTAGAGATTAGTAAAATTGCGGTACTGCCACTATATAAAACACTTAAAGTGTTTGTAAAAATATTGGCCTACACCTTCAAACTACAGACATCCAGCCACGGCGCGCGTCACCACCACTGGTTAAAGGTGTTAAAACGACTGCACTATCAAATAAATTCAGTCGATCAACTGGAGGAAATACCACTTGCCTCCATATGCGAGGAAGAATATGCCCCTAAAAGCTCGTATCGGCAACTTCCAAAATAAATCAACCAAAAAAGAAAATGTGTTTCCAATAAATCTTTTATTAACGTTGTACCTACATGCACATTTTGTAATATCTAATTTTAGTAACAAAACATGAAGAATTCCGGTGGTTGCAATAAAATCAGTTTTGAGGCATAAAACAAGGGGAAACCAGCATCAGTTGTTGAATTGGGACATAGAAGGAAATCAATAAAACTTTTATTAACTATGCATACTGCGAATTTGTAATACAACACTTTAAAATAGATAATAAGTATTTACTTAATATATGGGCGAAAACATCAACTCTAAAGCAAGGCTAAATTGCAAAGGTGAATGCAACAAAATAATATCTAGAATATTAATTATTTGAAACGTTTGCTTTCCTTTTCCAGTTTTATAGCGTTTCTCTAAAAAACTGCCATGTTTCATTAGACCTGGTTTGACGTGTATGCAATTTTTGCCATATATGTAATCATGTCTGACAATACAGTACTGTACTTCAGTATGTCTGATCAGACCTTGGTAAAATATCAGAACTTTTCCGACTGTTGACAGATAAAAATGTGAAAATACAGTGTATTATGTTATGATGTTATAGTCTCCATTCAAATCATTCTTGAATAAGTGTATGTCACTAAATATATAGGTCTACATGTAACTAGCATTGTATACTGTATATATTTTGTTAACTAAAATAGTTACATTCATCATAAAATGATGTCATAAAATGAAACTACTAGTAAAGATTAAAATAATTGTTTCAAAAATATCGCATGTCTGTGGCACGTTGTTGGATGGTAACATTAATATTCACTATTCTCACTACTATTAAGATCCACGTCATTTTGATCCGAACCAAGGACAAAATCAAACTCGATGGCATCCAGCTCAACGTCAGGAACCTGTGGAATTAATAAATACATCGTCACAGTTTACAGGGGAAAGTTTTCTGTTTGGAAGACATATATATAAATATATATTATATAATTAGTATATTTAAGACAACTGATTACAAAAATCATGTCATGATGCTAGAAGTTGCACATCTGAGGAAACAATGAGTTTGAGACAACAATCTGATATTTTATAGTTACACATCGCTGCGTCACCGTATGTAGTAACAAGGTGTGTCACAATTCATGTTGCTGCGACGTCACTGATGTAGCACTGTCACTATCAAAATTATCAGTGTTATAATTGCTTTTCAATGTCATTACTTTTGTGAGACCACACCACCTCCATGGTAAGACATGCTATGTGATTTATTTGACATTAAATTGACAATTACATAAACAGATGCGTTCAATAGCACCCAAGCCTTTCTAAATGATCAAATAATAAATAAGCCAATTTTTTTTTTTTGCTGATTTACAGACAATTTAAATATTTTTCTACAATGCTTGTTGTTGAAATCCTTGTAAAAACTCCATGGATCATTATGATTATTAATATGCCTGGGAGTACATCATTATTTATATGTAAATGAAAACATATGACCACTATACAGTATGTACTTTATGTATCTGAATGCAAGTCCATTATTTTTCTTATTCAAAATAATTATTTTTCTGAGTGATATGAATAATGCATTATTAATTTAGTTACATTATTTTAGATAAGTGTTAATGCAAGTGTTTTCCTGCAGTTCACAAATACAAAATATGGAGATGAGCCAATTATGTGAACTATGTAAAGTTTACAGCAAGGTCCAGAAAGACATTTAAATCACACAGCTACAGATTTACTGATACAGTTGTGATGTAATGGTGCATTGGGTTTTGGCAAGCTTACAGAACAACTGAATTCTTCAATTTTTAATTTGTTTCATAGACTTATTACAAACAGTACACATTTTCAAAGATTAGGGGGAAAAAAAATTCACATTTGACACAAGTTTTCAAATAGGGGTAGGCGTTTGATTTTAATAATCAGGAGGAAGGAGAAATTTAATGACATTCTGGATATATTGTTTAGAGTCGCATCTGTTCTTCATTACTGCTTATAGTTCATTTTAAAGTTTTTTTCATATATCCATAAAGGTAATTTTGAGTTAATAAATTTCAACGGACGTGAAAAATATAAAATATGCGAGACAAGAACCATGGTTTCTCTGTAAGGTTTATAATTTATTCATCAACAATGTAGATAACAACATTCACATGGCAACAAGAGTTAGTAATGAGGACACCATAGCAAGAGCACCATAGATACAGATTTAAACAATGCACCTTTGTTATCAAATCCAGTACAAAAAGTAGTGCGATTTCAAAATAAAGTGGTTAAGTTAAATGAGGATTGAATACGCAAATATGATGAGATGAAATTTAAATAAATGTTATTTATTACATGATACAAGTGGGCATATCCTCACAAATAGGTTTCACTTTCATACAGTATCATCCTTTTTATATCTGCTAATCAATTTCTCGACAAATAATAAACTCATTTCAACCCTTTCCAAATATGGCAATTAGATTGGAAAAGTTGATTCCTCTACATAACTTATACTGTAGAAGCAAGGATTCACCTGTGTGATGATCTCTGACCCTTATACCGATTTTTGCACTTAATTTCATGCAGTGTTGTTGAGGGATGCTAACTACAACACTTGTTTCCTCTCCCCCTTGAGTTAAGGTTGTTGATTTTTTTCCTAAAACATGGTACAGACACAATTCCAAACAGCAATCCATGTAGTTTTCAGCATCTAAATATGCATTCATGACAAATTGTCATATTTCCGTGTCACTTGTTTCATCCCCTTCGGACTCATCATCAATTTCATCCACTTCATCCTCACCCTCATCATCATCAGCCTCTACAATTTCTTTTTCATCACTCTCTTTCTCCGTCTCTGCTGGTAAACCACGGATGTCATCATCCATGCTGATCTCTGTTTCTTCCTTACATGTCCTCACCTGTTGGGGTACCTACGGAGGAGAGGAAGGGAAAAAAAGATACAGGCATGACAACTAACACTATAAGCTTATGAAGCATTCCAATAATACATGCAAAGAAAAGAAGCAACCAAAATTAAAGCTCATGCAGCCAACACCAACAGAAAATGGATTATATAATATAAAAAGCTTTGTATTGTAGATTACTAAAATAATAACTGTAAAACCTTGAATTGGAGCCATAGGCTTCTTTTTTTTTGCGAACTTTGGATGGGCTTCTCTTTGAGATGGGCTTCTTTTTGAGACTACTTTTGCAAAGTAAAGAAGGGGGGGGGCTTCTTTTCAATATGAATGCTGTAAATCTTTTGAATTTGTACTATAAAACAATAAATAAGGCAACTGTAACATCAATTTGTATCATGGGGTGTATTTAACCGGCATTAAATCACCGAAACTTCTGTATAAACCAAGCTTGTATTTAATTTATTTTGTTTTCTGAAATTCATGTACAGTGTATGTACTGCACTATGTCGAAAAGAAGCCTATGCTATCCCATGGGCTTCTTTTCAAAGCTAATTTAGCAAATTAAAAAGATGGGCTTTAAATCGAGGTTTTACGGTGTTTAATTAAAAATATATTATAAATCAGTAAAATATAGCTTTTTGATTATTTTTTTTTTTAAAAGAAAATTCCAGCAGATGGCAATTGGATTTCCAACGATGACACCTTTTAACACTTGTGTGGATATCTAACATCTCAATGCACAGGTATATTTTTACATGAAAATTTAGTGTTAGTTAAATGCACTATAAATTTGCATAAATATTATAGCTTGTGATAGATTAAATTGGAGGGCACCTTTAAAAACAGGGATTTAAATATAGATTTGTTTATTTTATGAACTACGAGTTGCATGAGGCAAATCATAACTATACCAAGATTAATTTTTTTTCTAGTTTAGGGCTGTTTGCATTTTTCAAGGGAATTATGTAAAATAATGGAGCAAGCTGAACTATCAATCGGAGTGATTTAATGAAGTAGAAATAAGCTAGAAGCAATTAAATTTTTATAAAAAAAAAGTTTATGTCACAAAGATGAGATAAACGATTTAAATGAAGCGAAGGAAAAAGCCAATAATCATACATCAAAATCAATGAAGGAGCAGTGGGTTAAATTTCAAAATAAGATTTTATTTTATCAGAATATATTCATATTAGATTATATTTTTAAGAAATTGATTGCTTATCTGTATCTGCGACCATTGATATAAAGTGCGCTTACTGTCTGCAGATAATGCATCAATGGGGATCCAGGGTATTATCCAGGGTATATCAAGTAAGAACAGACAATTACAAGGTCAAATAAGGTAGAATGTTGTGCCAATGTTGCCGGAATTTCAAAACACTCAAATTACATTATGGATTACTATCTGAACTTAGTGTACCCCTTTGAAAGATGTTTTATTTAGGTGCTACAGTCAAGCATGCCAAAATATGTACGATGAAGACAGAAAAGATGTACAATATTTAACTTCTCACAATTTATCGGGGGGCGTGAATGTAATGATAACATGCCTGTGGTGGTTTAGCATGACTTAACTAATCATTAATACAATTTTAATCACTAATAATTAATCACTAGATATCAAATTAAACATTCAAAAGTTTGAAGATGTTTCCATGTAGTTTTAAACACAATATACATCTGAAATAAATTCAAAACCAAATTGAGAAACAAGTAAAGATAGTTTTGTACTTACCAGCCACTGGAATGGTCTGCAGTTTAAGATATAGTCACCAACTTCCATGGATAAATCTTGTAAGGAGTTCAGACGTTGTCTTGCTAAGGATAACACGTTGCTCGGAAGGTCACGGAAATATTGAACCTATCAGAAAATGTATAATATATGCCATTAGGTCACAGTCACCATGATGTCTAAGAATTAGACCAAAAATAGTGGTTTTTGTACAGTATTTTGTAATGCTATATCATTAAATTATAATTAAAAAAATAGGCCATGGAAAAAAAAAATTTTTGCAAATGCATTAAGTAGGTAAAGTCTTTCAAAAGGCATAGTAGAATGAAGGTCAATAAATTTTCTAATATGTGGTGGTGGGGTCTTTTTATTTGGTAGAAGAGACAATCAACAATTCTCTTTCTTTTACATGGCCTTACAAATTCATCTAAATCAGCAAATGTTCTGTCTGAAGCAACTAAAATTATCAAACCTCTTCAAGAGTATGGTACAGCGACTCGGCCATATCCCGACCTTCTGCAACCTTCATGCGGATATTCTGGGGCATAGCAGAAACTGCGGATGCTAGATTACCACTGAGGACTTGCAGACGTTTCGACAACACACGGGCAATCGCCAAAGTTCTCATCTCCGCTGCCTGAGATGGAAAAAGAAAAAAAAAAATTAAACAAATAAACTATGGACATTGATCAAAGAAATATATGGTAGGGAATATTTATGCATCAGTAAAAATGGCAGGCAAAAGTTTCTTAATCCAGTTTTCATTCGAAGGTTAATTAACTTGCTAAAATACACAAAGCCTCATGAATTTTCATTTATAAAGTTTTCATTTTTCAGCTTAATACATAAATTCTAAGGGAAAACACTAGCTTCCTATTAAATAGTATTTGCAAATACAAAGCTAAAATTAAAAGTCAGCTTATTGGAAAAATACTAACTATTAAGCTAAAATATCTTAATTAAATAATAATTGATTATTTTCAATTATTCTGTTTGATAATCTGACAATAAAACTAAAATTGGGAAATATATAGACAAAGTCAATCTATTTATTATTTGCATAAATTTCCACCTAATCACATAATTTCCTGGCACTTACCACTGCCTGGTTCTCTTCATTTTCCAGTGTTTCTTCTCCTTGAATGCTTTCAGTCTCCTCATCTGTTGTCCAATCATTCCAAGTCTTCCACAGAGTTTCATGGGTGTTCCTGACATTAGCACGGATATTCTCATTGGCCGAATCAATGTTCTTCTTTGCATAATCGATCTTGAAATAAAATTGTACAAGAATTATTCAATCCATCTGTACTTCTACATTTAATTTCAACAAACTAATTCAATAATTTTTGAAAATATATAATTGTTTAATTTGTTGTTGAAATAATGAGTGAAACTACAGATGTCGAACAATGACATACCAAATTAACGGTGAAGTGAAGTTTGTCAATAGTTTCTTGACTTTTCTTCTGGATGTAACGGACTCTCTTGATGGCACGCTGGTAGAGGCGTCTGTGCACCTTGCTGGACAAAGTAGTTACACGCTTGATTGAACCGGGATTCTCCTCCTTAATTGTACAGTGCTGAAGGGGTGCAGCCACGTCACGAGAAGCTATAATATAAGTGTAAAGAATCTTATCGTTAACTTCACTGAAACAATGTAAATATCTCAAGTGATTATAGAGTGCAGTGTTGTCTATGTGTATTTTTAAAGCTTCTAATATTTTGAGTCTTACCTTCATCACTGTCCTGATCAATTGCCATGTTCTCATCATCTGATGGCAAATAATAATCAACAGCATGCTCTGTAACCATGAGGGCAGTATCCACGCCACTGGTTACCAGATTACCGACACGAGTGTCGATCAACGAGTTGACATAATTGCTGCTGCTTTTTTTGCCATTGTCAATCACCTTCCAGGTCTCGTTCTTAACCTTTGACACAACCTAAAAATTACAATCATAATGCACAGGTTAGAATCACAAAGTTACAGGTTAAAGGTCATTTTAAATGACACATTGCTACAACTGAAAATCATTTTTATATTATTACCATTAATTATACAGCAGAAATAAACTTCAAAATGCAAACAATAAGGATTAAATAAATTAGGTTATAAGGACTGAAATCTCAAAGCATTATCAAATTGAAATAATAATGGATGACCCTACTGTGCCATTTACCTTATCTGTTGGTTCGGTAATGATTGGAACCTTCTCTTCCAACTTGTCGAGCTGCTTGCAAGCATAGCCATTCACCATTGCAACTATAAATAAACAAAATTTATATTATAACTCCATAAAGACACTGTGTATGTGAATTTGTGTTAATTCACACATGTGTTTACATGTAAACATGGATGTATGTGGTGTGAATCCAGTTGTACATCTATTTGCTAAATGTGGGAAAAAAAATAAATATATCAAAAATCATGCTTGAAATAAACTTGCTCATTTTGTAGTATCATAAACATTATCAACTTAAACATATAGAAGTGTATTTAAAAAAATGTTTACCCATGATTTTAGTGAAAAATGATAAAAACTCTTTCAGTTAAATTGACAGTGCTTTTATTATTTTATAAAAATTATTACCCAGTATAAAAATCAGGGTACACATATTTAAATTAAATAATTTCTCTCAAATTAATAATTTGTATGTTACTGCAATAATGAGCAAATTTTCATTTTTAGGGGACAATACATCCTTAAAAACACACTGTATAATTATCATGTTACACACTTACTTGGCTTCTCACAACGATCAACGACTGGCTTAGCAGTGGCAGCTGCCAAGGCGACAGACTTCTCTGCAACCTCAAACGTACAGCGAACGAGTCCGCTCTTCTCCTTTGACATATTGTAGATGCTGGCTACCTGATCAACTGCGGTGCTCACCATTGGGTAGCTGAGTACGCGAGAGTACATCGAGCTGGTCATTTGTGGCATTACTTCTGTTGACATCTTGCCTGAAAAATTGAACAGCTTGTAAGAAAAGCAATCTTGCATGGTAATTCAGTAACACTATCAAACAAATATTTTACACCACAATCAATAATACTACCAGCTTTCCTCTGAACCTAACCTTGGGTTGATTAAACAAATAAATGAATAAATACTAAACAGCAGTGAGGGCATCTTTAACACAAGAGAAACCTTTGACCTTTTGCCTTTTCAAGGACAACTTGCACAGAAAACAATAGTACTACAGTTTCAGTGAAATACTTAAATGCAATATCATACACAATAAGATTTGGGGGGGGGGGGGAGTCTATAAAAGCAGGAAAGTTAAGAAATATTGAGGATATCCTATCATAGATTTATCATCTAACATGTCAGTTCAAAAATGAAAACTCCACCATAACTTTCTTAATCATTATTAATTCTGGTTTACAACCATAATTATCAACTTTCAATGAGATTTTGGAGTACCGGTAACTAAAATGCAACTACTGTAAATAAACTACTTTAATCTAGAAAATAATGTTAAACAGGCCAGCTCCAACATATAGAATTCAATGGAACAATGAATACAAATTACAAGGAAGGATCAACATTCTAAAAATGGATATGCCACATAAAAAAATTCAAGGTGAACTGTACAATACATCAATTAATTAATAAAAAACAAATTATTTCTTGATGAATAAAAAGTACAGCCGCGTTAGTCTGATACAGTATAGAACAATTTAAAGTAAATGACAGCAGCACTTTTCAGACGAATAATATAGAATGTATTCTCTAGCTTTCGTCCACACAGTGGACTTCATCAGGAGATAATTTGTGAATAATAATTACAGAGTTTGAGACCAAAATTGTACAAATCAAAACAGTAAGCTAAACCGAAGTCAAACCTTAAATAAACCTATGATGTGGTAATTCATAAAAATACTCACCGGACTAAATGAGAATGAATTCTTAAGAACTGACTTAAATTAGTACCAGTGTTTCTGCTTCAAACTGATTCAAATAATAACTGAGAATCTCGAAGCAGTCAGCTGTTTATATACGCTTGACTGTGTAGTGACTACTATTTGACTTTCTTCCTGGACTATGCAATCTACGTGATTGCATCATGCTCACTAATGGATACTTGATGACTCACACTCTCTGACTTTGAGCAAGTACAAAGTCAAATCCGATATTAAAGGAACAGGCATAATCTTGCCTTAAAATTTTCAAATGGAAAAAATGCTTAATAAATATAAATACCTCCAACACTTTACGATCATCTATGATCTGACTTCCCCGATATTGTCAAAAACCTAAATCAAACTGAATTTAACAACTGTGAGAACTATACATTGAAAATTCTAAATACAATACACAAATAAAATTAAAAGCACCCAAACATGAAAAATCATATATTTTCAATGTATTTTTTATAATTTAGGCCTATAATCAACGGCTTCACAAATGGAGGTAGAACTGGGTCAGTCAGTTTATAAATAGCAGACACACTTTGTAATATTTTCTTAATCCTACTTATTATACCTAAAAACCTTTAATTATTTTCAATTTTATAAATTTTTAAATTGGTTAACGTACAGGTCGCTTTAATATTATTTAACCTTGTGTCATATCTAAAATTTAACCATGTATATTTTCCATACTGTATATTTCACAAAATATAACACAGTTTTGTACTACTGTACTGTCTCTCTCTTCCTCTGATTTCCTATGCGATACAGCAGGTCTAATAATATTGCTGGTTTTCTAGCTTACCTGTTTTTGTTCACTAATTGTGACGCACAAACAAAACAATTCAAGAGATCTCTATATTTCAAAAAATATCTTTCAATTAAAATCTCTTTCTCTATTGTACATGCTAGAATCTAACATTACTTATCAATTAGTAGATAATAGCATCAATAGTTTAATTCTATTATTAATAAGGAAATTCCCTAATGGATTGAATGAAAATATAATTCAACACAGGTATATTAATTATTATACTTTACAGTAGTTGAGTTATAGTTTAAGATATCAATTTCATGTCTTGCCCTTAAAATGATAAGACTAGTTATTCTCCCTTTAATTTGTCCTTGTGCCACAACACAGGTTATTCACTATCAAATGAGGTGGTCTATGCAAAGATACATTACAAACAGATCTTTCTAAAAATAGACTTGTTGCAAAACCCCATATATGAGGAAAAGGTTTAGAATGTGACTTTGACTACGGTACCCTTCAAACGTAATAGAAAAGTTAATGTTAATAATATATATTCTTTTGTTTTAATATACTTACTGAATCAATATATATATATATATATATATATATATATATATATATATATGATCCGTCTGCAGATATTGGGATTCTTTCCAGTGGATGCTTAGTTTATTTTGTCATCCTGATCGGATTTTCTCTACTGTTCCGTTTTAATTA